ATTTTATGTGTTTGGTTTTATCACAGGTTTTATTATACACTTGTTATTTTATACCTATATGTAACACTGTCTTAAATATTTTTTTGTGAGTATGCACTGAATGGTGCATGTGTTCTTGTCTTTATTTTTAAGTTTTGGAAATACATAAACTTTTGTTTGGTGCAACGTAACCCCCCCCCCCCATGAATTTTGTGCTAAAAAACCTCAACCAACCAACCTACACAGCAAAAAAGCATTCTGTTGCATTAATATCCTTCTCTTTCAAAGCAATTTTATTTTAGAATGGAGGGGGGATATGTAAAATAAAATTTTAATTAATGTACTTTTTTGGAAGCATTTAGTAGTAAAATGTGTTATTTAATTTTTTGTTTGAAATTAGTATCAGTAAAGACATTAAGAAATGTATCATGATGTATAAATAATTTAGTACATTGCCTTGCAACATTCTTTTTAATTTAATAAATAGGTATAGATATTCAATTAAAATACAAGCAGTTATGAATATAGTGTTTAAGATTTTAATTTATCCATTAAATTTGCATTTGAATACATTAAAAGTAGTACAACACAAAGCAATAAATTCAGTGTCTAATACATATATAAAAGTGAAGTTTAAGAGAATTTTCTTTAAAATAATTTCTTAATATTATGCTGTTAAAAAATGGCTATTATGAAGTCTCATATTATGAACCCCATCCATTACACAAAGGCAGCAATCACATAAAATTTGGGAATGTGGTATTCTTGATGTTGATTAAAGGAACCATCTACTCAACCATCATAACATGATTGGAGTGTGTAGGATTAAAGCTTTTTTTTTCTCCCAGTTTTAGTCAGATTTATTATGTTATATTATAAATACTTAATTACTATGGTAATGAGTTTGTCTACTGCCATCAACTAAAGATCCCCAAATATAAAAGATGTTTTGACATGTAAATAGTAATATATCCTCCTGTGTTATAAGTACTCAGATCTTAAGCTGTTTAATAGATATAAAATTCACTTGATAAGATTGATTCACTTGAAATTTACTTGATAAGATTGATTCACTTGAAATTTACTTGATAAGATCAGTTCACTTGAAATTTACTTGATAAGATTGATTTCACTTGAAATTTACTTGATAAGATTGATTCACTTGAAATTCACTTGATTGATTCACTTTCTGCTCTAGCTGTAAAACTTTTTGAGGAAATTTCCTTATGTTTCCTCTCCAAGAAAAAGTAAAATTTTTGTTTTTTTGAGGCAAAAATAAGTTTAGGGATTTTAGGCATTTTCCTCTCAACTACATAGTTTTCACATATTGTGTTTTGGCATCACACTTCCAAAGTTATACTTTCAGTATTCATTTTCTAAGGCTTTAACAAATTTACAAAGTTTTACTTTTAACAAAATTACAGAGTTTTTGCCTTTAACAAAATTTTGTATAATCTTATCTTTTGATTTCATGCGAGACTTCCATGTACCAACATCACCGCTTGCATATTTTGTATTTGTTAAAAAAAAGTCATAGGAAAAGTCTTTTGTCTTAAATATATATATAATGTTATATGAAATAAATGTGAGCAAAATGTATGTAATACTGGAAAAGATGGCATTAAAGAATGAATGAATAACTAAATATGTTTTCTGGCTAGATTAATAGGTTAGTATGATGTGCTGTGTGTACTAATGCTAATCCTTAGCATTATTAATTTCTTTCCTATGACATGAAATGGATATTAGTTGTGTTTAGCTGAGAGTGTTTTTATGAGTACTGTTTACTTTTATGTGTGATGTATTTCCTTGTTAGGTGGATACATTTGTAAAGGAAATTTGGTTTAATTTACTGAAAATTTATTCTTTATATAGCATTGATTTCAGATTAAATGGTTTCTTGCATTTGCTTTTGAAGACAGTTTAACATGGATATCTCTTCACTGGCATTAAATGTTTATGATTTGGACAATACTTGGCTTTAGTGAACAGATTTTTGCCATTTTTGTCCAAAAGAGCATGGAGCCTTTTCCACATGAAATAAAGCCCACAAGTGGCTATAGCCATGAAATGGTGTTCCTGATTATTTTGTGACTGGCTGCATTGTGAAAAGGGAGTTCTAGGTTTTCCTATATATTATGCAAATACTTGTCAATTACTCTTATAAAGGCCTTCATAAAAGAATTCATTTTTGTAAATTAACCTTTGAATTCTTAACCATGATGAAACATAATTTCAGATTTGTTCCATGAGACTGGATTTGCCGAATATTCAAGTTCTCTTATGCCTGGTATTAATAATGGAATGTCTGGTATAAACAATTAGAATCAGTTTTTAAATCCATTTGTTTCATATTTTATACCCTGCCACAAATAATTATTGCTTTGGAGTTTTTTACCAAGTAAAAACATTCTTTCGTGAAATTTAATTCTGTATGATATATATGCATCTTATTACGTATGTGTAACACATTCTGTAATCTTTGTAGCACTTTAGAGTCATTAGGTTATTTTTAAAGCAGGAGAGATGAAAAATAATTATTTTTTTCGCGTTCCCTTCAACAGTAAGGGAATTACTCAGCGAGCGTGGATTGTTGCATTCTGTTTTTTTTTTTTTTTTTTTTTTTTGCACGTGCTACGAATTTTCTTAATACGTCATTGTTACGAAATGAGTTTAAAAAAACCGTATTGTCAATATTTTCGGCCTGCCTACAAAGCCGAATTTCCAACAATTAAAGAATCCTTCAAAGGAAATAACTATGCACTTTGCAACGTGTGCGTGTATGACTTCATAATAAGTCACGGTGGAAGAAGCGATTGTTAAGTGTAAGTCTAAAAAGCATGAAGTTAATGCTTCGGCTTCGACACAACGTAAAGAAAGTGGATGATTTTTTTTCAAATTCGGCTACGAATTTCGGATGCCGATGTCATTTTGGCAGAGTGTTTGTTTACTGCATTCCTCATTGAACATAACATGCCGCTAAGCGCTGCCGATCACGCCAGTCAACTTTTCAGATGGATGTTTCCCCACTCCAAGATTCCTCAGAAATATGCTTGTGCTCGCACGAAAACATCTTCTATTGTGAACGAAATTGCTTGCAATGCACAAAGTAAAACGATAGCTGCACTCCAGAATTCAGCATTTTCGGTGTCAATCGATGGCAGCAACGACAGCGATTGGAAGCTTTACCCCATCGTTGTCACATATTTCTGTGATGTATGAAAACTCATCTTTTGCATCTTCCATTGTTAAATGGAGACGCTACAGGGGAAAATATTGCCTCCTTGGTAATTAATGAGCTTGAAACAACTTAAAACCTTCCAATATCAAACTGCATTTCATTTGGTGCAAATAATGCTCATGTCATGGTGGGTGACAAAAAGGGTGTAGCCCTCTTTCCTCAAAAAGAACAAAATGAATTAATTGTTATTAGATGCCCATGCCACTTAATTAATTTGGCAGCAGAAAAAGCTGCAGCTGCTTTACCATTAAATATTGACCAGCTTCTGATTGATGTGTTTTTCTATCTGGAAAAAAGTGTAAAAAGGAAAGAAAACCTAAAGAATCTCCAAGAACTGTGCTCTGGTCAACTTTGTTAAAGAAGTTGAAGGGAAGAAGAAACAGTCTTCTAATAGCTGGGAGGAAAGGATTTTCTGTCTTCTTTCTTCGGATTTGAACAAAGCATATTGTAGTTTTGTGTTAAGTACCATTAAGATGTTTGAAAGTGTAAATAACCTTCTACAATCAGCTTCGCCAAAATCTCCCCTGCTTATCCAAATTCTTAATGATCTTTTAAAAGAACTTTATACTAAGTTTGTAAAACCATCCGTTGTGAAAAAGTGTGTTGATTCGTATTGCCTATAATAGTTTGGCAAATCAAAAGGATGACAATGATCTTATAATTGGAAATCAAATCAGGGAACTTGTAAATTCTTTGAAAGATCATGAGAAAAAAGAATTTTTTCAATGTGTTAGAAAGTACTTTTCCTCAGCCCGTGATTACGTTGTAAGGAAGTTTCCTTTGCAAAATGAAGTTCTTTTAAATGCTGAAGTGGCAAATTTGAAACAAATTGAAAATTCAGCTTTTGAAAAGATTATTGATAAATTTCTTATTGATAAATTCAATAAGTTTCTTATTGATAAATTTCCATTTTTGTTAACAATTAAAGAATTATTCTTATTGATTTTTTTATGATAATTTTCTTATTGATAAATTTCCATTTTTGTTAACAATTAAAGAAAATGAATGCCATAATGATGCTTTAGATGAACTACAGAACCAATTTTCTGCTGCACAGTTTGAAGACTTTGCCAGTTCTGGAGAAGATAGACTTGATGTCCTCATTGGTACTTTAAAAAGAATAAAAAGAGCTGATGGAACACCAAAATATGATAGACTAGCAAGAGTTTTATGTGCTATTCTCGTAATTCCACACAGTAATGCTGAGTGCGAGAGAGAGTCTTCAGTGTTGTGAAGAAAAACAAAACTATGTTTCGTTCTTCAATCATTCACCAAAAACTCTAGAAAACATTTTAATTGCTAAATGTTATGAGGAAACTAATTGTTATGACAGGAAATTTTCCAAAGAATTTTTGGCTAAAGCCAAAAAATGCACTCTAAATTCATTGCAATAATTTTTTTGTGTAACATTAAGTTCTTGTTTTATGTTTCCTAATAAAGTTTTTAGTCACTACTTAATTGAGATTTACTAATGTAAGTACAATTTTCTTTTTTCTATTTGTATAAATTGTTATTTTTTTAATATCAAAGCATGATATTAATTCTTCGTGTTCTTCTGAATTTGGAGAAATCTTCTGAATTTGGTGGGAGAAATCTTCTGAATTTTTTATCTTTAGAGGTTGGCAGGTATGCCACTACAATATGAAGGCATGCTAAGAAGGCGGAGAAATACCTTATAGCACTTTTTAAAATTATATTAATAAAACATAAATTTTATAGATGTTTAATATATTTTTAATTTCTTTTATTGGATACTTGAGTGTTTTTATACTTATTTTAGGCAAGGATTGCATTTTTACAAGGGGAGAGGAAAGGTCAGGAAAATTTAAAGAATGATTTAATAAGGAGGATAAAAATGTTGGAATATGCACTAAAACAAGAAAGGTAAGTGTACATATTGCATGTATTCATTTAAATTTTTCAAGAGCTGAATTGCAGCTTACAAAAAAATTAATAAGGCTCTTGCATTTTAAATATATTGCTTTCATTTAAAAACTGTCTTTTTGTTTGGTTAATGTGTTTTTGATCATCTGTTATGTGCTTTATATTTTGCTGTATGCCAATTAAAACAAATGAATTCACTTGTCTTTTATATGTATAATCAATTGTAACAGCTGTATGTGCTTTTAATTAATTTTATGTTTGCTTTTTCTCATATTACTTTGGTATTACGTACATTCTGTTAGTTTGATTCCATTATTCTCTTGCAAAATATCAGTAATGTGTGTAACAGCAAACGTTAATGATTTTAGTAGTATATCTAAGATGAACATAGGTATTAATTTAGAAGTCAAACAACAAAAATCAGCATTATATTTTCAAATTTGACTTCTAAATTAATACTTGTTTGCCGTGTTATTGCATCTTAATGAGCATATGTAATTAGCATAAATTAGAAAAGCAAAATGCTCTTCTTTGCTTGAGGCAAGCATCAGAAATAGCTTTTATACTTATAACCCTTGCCTTGAGTGCTTTCGTAAAAGAATTGGGAAAAAAAAAAAAAAAAAAAAAAAAAAAAAAAAAAAAAAAAAAGCTCACTGGAAAAGGAAAGGAAACAGTAAAATCAGGTGAAAAGCCCACCCCCCCCATAAAAAAAAGCTCACTCTAAAAGGAAAGGAAACAGTAAAATCAGGTGAAATTTGTTAGTATGATTTAGCTGCCAACTCCCTCAGTTTTGAACACATTCCTGGTCTCTGGCATATCATCGTATCTCCTGGTTTATAATTTTTAGTCTTTATTCCCAACTATAAAGGAAAATATTTTGAGTAAATGAAATTTAAAGTGTGCAAATTTCACTCCCCTCTTTTAGTGATTTTCATCATAAGTTTTTTCTAATTAAAATATATCTAATGAGAAAAATTGAATTTCCCTAATCTGTGGCACACATTTATGGATTTATGGAGCCTTTTATGAAGATTCAAGCAATGTTTAATTATTACTTGTGTATAGTACATTACAAAATTTATCCACCCTGATTGTGATATGTACAGTAGTTGTTAATTTTATTAATATGTCAAAGTACTTTGATAAATAAAAGCTTTTTGGCCCTACTCAGGATTTTTTTCAGTGAAAAGTGTAGGAATATGAAATGAAAATAGTCTAGAAGCATAAAATTTAGAATATCTAATTAAATATTTTACATTAGAATCATATTAAGTAGTTCAATAATTTGAACCATGCACTATGCAATGAATTTAAGGGTAGTATGCAAATTTGGACTAGGTCAGTAACTTGAATTATGCACTGTAAAGCAAATTTATTTGGCCTTTTTTGAAGTTATATCTCGTTCAGCATGAAAACCTTCTAGGTTCTGCCTTTTGCCCCCAAATCTCCTGTTTTTCCCTAATTTAAAACCCTTTCGACCCGACTTTTGCATGATCAAAATTTAACTATGAAAAGTAGTTTAATGTTGACATACTAAAAGAAGTGTAATATGAGTTTAAAGTATTTAACATTTTTCGTTTCCTGGAAATCTCTTGGGACGGGGACTATTTGTCCCATTCACCTAGGATATTGTGATAATAACGTTACACTGCATGTGAATAAGTAATAAAGTTAAATGTACTGAATATTTTATTCTTGCAGTAGAAGTTAAGTATGATATGGCGTAAAGAAGTGATATGGCAAAAGCTGACAAATTTGGCAAATAGGTCAGGTTTCTTTAGTCATGTATTTGATTTGTAATTCCTTAAAAACACTGCAAACATAAAAAACCATTTAAAAATGGGTTTTATTTACCCAGTAGGGAATGAAATCTAATCTCTGGGATGTATGTGCCCATTAGGACCCAAAAGGTTAAGTTTGGCAGTTACGATGTGATCAAAATTTAAAAATTTATTTTATTATTTTATGTATATGCTATGCAGATGCACATATATGCACATGCACACACTGTCGAGAAAATATAAAAACCTTGAAAAAGTACTCGGCCATGATAAAACTCAACATGAGTAATGAGGAAACAAAGGTATTTTGAATTAGTCTGTTAATTGAGCAAACATAGATCAAGAACTGTTACATATAATTATGTGTTTGTTTCAACAATGGACTTGCACGGGGGCAAATGCAATCCTGAAAATTTTGTTGTTGGATAGTGTGACTGCTCTGCAAGTTCGCACATGTTACAAGGTGGCTATAACTAACATCTGAATATTTCTTGTTAGGGAAAGGCTTAGAGAGCTGACAGGCCAAGAGATAGTTCATACAGTATGCAAACATTTCCTGGAGATATTTACTGTGTGTGTAGTTGTGTTTTGTTGAAATAGCCTGTAATAGATACAATATATCATTTAGCAGTGCAAGATTGTAGATTATGTTAGCAGTTAATGCTTTCAGTCCCACTCTGTAAAATGACATATAGTAGGTAGAAATAAATAATTAGTATTATGTTTCTTAAGAAAGTTTAAGTCCAGGAGAAACTATTTCTTTTTTCATAGTATTTTCTTACTAGCTGTAGATGCAGAATGTCTCTTCTGTAATTACTTGCATAAATGTTATGTTTTTCATTTTATGAGCTTTTTCATATATACATATATAAAGAAAAAATTTTAAATTAATGAATTTTAAAGTTTATTTATAAAGACTTAAAAAGTAAAATCCTGTACTGTTGCTGCAAAGATAAAATTTAATTTGAGAGAGAATATATGAATGAAAATTATCTACTATGAAATGTGAAGTGAAATTTTGAAAGAGTACAAGTGTAAAAATTCCAGTAATTAATTTACACACTAATATAAATTTTCTTTTAAAATTTCTTGTAATGAATACTTCTAATTCTTAGTTCTACACAAAATCTGAAGTGAAATTTTGAAAGTAAATTTGTAAAAATTCCAGTTATTAAATATATACACAAGTATAAATTTTCTTTTAAAATTTCACTTCTTACAAATTTACTTTCAAAATTTCATTTCACAAGAGATAATATTCATTTGTATATTATGTTTCATACAGGTTGTCTCAATACCACATTTCAGAACTTCTAGCTGGGGTAGGATGCACCCCAGTGACTCAGAATCATACAACAATGCAGGGTCTGAAACATTTTTCTGATGCGATGGTGTTCGTCATTTTATGCAAGGATGCAGAGCTAGTAGGATAAATAATTATATGAAAGTGGAGTAAAACGATATGCATTTTGCATGTGGGGCTATAAATTGTAGTAAGCCAGCCACACAGTGCTTATACATGGATCGATATCCTATGAGACATAACCCAGCCACAATTTCTTTGCAATGCTGCACCAGAGGTTAGCCAAAACAGGTTCCTTTCAGAGAGCTGCCATGAATTGGGCATGGTCAGCATGGACTCCGGACATGGAAGGGAATGTGTTACATAAGGTACAGAAGACTCCAAGTTTGACTATGCGAAATGTCCCCGTTTTATCACCTGAAGTATTCTCAGAGAAAACAAAATGCATCCATATCATGTGCAGCATATCTAGACACTTCACCCGGGCGATTATACACATCGTATGGTATCTTGAAAAGTGTATTACAAAAAAATTACTGCAGTACTACTTGAAAAGTGTACGGTTTTCCTGTTAATGTGCTCTTCACCAATGTGGCATTGTTCGCAAGATAAGGAATATTCACAATGCGAATTTCTCTGCAGCAGATAATCCTCATGCAATATGACGATGTCGTATAACACAGAGTCGTTTTTAGGTTAATTATAGGGCCAACATTGTGGAGGTATTATCTCATCAGATCTTACCTGTTGCCTTTTTGTCTAACCGGTTGTAACTACTTGATCTTTTCGCAGCAAGTTTTGCGACAACTTTTAGATGACAGACAGATTTCTGCATCGATACAACACACATTGGAATTCCAACACATGGGGCCCCTTCCCATTTCAGCCATAATGTCTGTACCCACCTAGACGACAGATTTGGCCAACAGTGAGATCGGATGTGGTGGTCCTGTGCGTTGGACTGCTTGACGAATCATTTCTTGATTTCTTTTTATGGGGCATATGAAGATACTGGTTTATAACACATGCGCTGTAAATGGTCGGCATGCATTGAAGTCGGTAGATGAATTTTCGAATACTCTCTTTGGCTCATGTTACTTTTGTCCTTGTAAATGTGTATTGACTTATCTGGATGTCTTTTAATTTCTGATGCTTCTATCATCAGAGCGTCAGGAAAGCATTTCCGACCCTGCATTACTATATGATTCTGAATTATCGGAGTGCACCCTACCCATGCTAGAAGTCTTGAAACGTGGTACTAAGATACACTATATATATAGAAAGTATCTCAGTATATATATCTATGTATGTTTTTTCTTCCTTTATGATGAATATTTATTGTATATGATGGTAGTTAACCTAGATTTTGTCGAATAAATATTTTGAGTTCCCCCCCCTTTTTTTTAAAGAGTGAAGTTGCATAAGCTGAAATATGGAACTGATCCTAATTTCTCTGATTTAAAAGCTCCTATTTTTGATGATATTGGTAAGTATCTTTTTAAAAATTTAATACTTACATGTGTGTATGTATGCAGTTATTATTTTTGAATTGAGGTTTTTCTCACTGTATTGATTTGTATTGATCAAGAACTGAAATTCTTCTAATAGGATAATAAAGTTGTATGATTTTACAGTTATGTCAAATATTCAGGACATATTGAATTGTACTCACGCAATAGGAAAATAAATTAATGGTACATGTTTTCTTTTTTTTTTTTAATTTTTAATAATTTAATTTTTAATAAACACTTTTCTGAGTGCTTCAAAAAAAGTATCTTTGTGTTTGTTATGAAGGTGCAGTACACACTTATAAGTCAAAATCGGGGCAACAGAAAATAAATTTTCCACATTTTGTGGTTTCTGTTTTGAATGGTCTCAAGTTATTTGGCTGAAGATTAATTTTGTACAAATATTTAGCAAAATTACCATACCTAGGAATAAAGCGTAATTTTAAAAATCAGACTTGCTGTTGAAAGGATAAAAATTGGCGTGACTAGTTTTGCCGGATGATGATTTTTCGTTTAATTTATAGTCACTTTTTTATTACAATATGCCATACAGAAGCTCTTGGATAAGATCTTCATAAGATTTATATGCACTGCCATATTCAGATCATCTTTTGCTAAAATGTTGAACTTGACAAAGTTGAGTTAGCTAGAAAGCTGAGGTTTACTCCAGTGAATTCACTAATGTCTAGATGAATCAAAAGCAACTTATTGACAAACTTCTATACTTGAAGTTTTCTTCAGTAATGTTTGGCTAGGTTTATTTGATTATGGTAAAGCATGTGAGGGTTATCTGCCTGAGAAGAGGGATGTCATTGTTGACTTTTTTCTAAGGAAAACACTCATATGCACAAGTAAGTTATTTAGTGAAAAATAATCATGGATGACATTTTCAGCCAGAATTTCCATATGCTTGCTTAAATAAGAGCTAAACAGAAAGAAGTTATTCTCGAAAAATAGTGCACTCATCTATAGACATGCTGTTTTTTTATACACTCATGTCCATAAATTAAGGATAATGCAAAATCAGGCAAAGGAAGAGTTAGAAGCAAAACAAATTTGACTTATTTGTAAAGCTTATTTATTAAACAAAAGGTAAAGAGCAAAAAAAGATGCTATATGTGTGATATTTAAGAATTAGCGATTTTTTTCTCCCTGGAGCAAATTACAAAAAAAAAAAAAAAAAAAAAAAAAAAAAAAAAAAAGAAAGAAAAAAAACCTATTTACAAAAAACCAATATTACATGGTTGGTATGATTGTTAATACATTGTATATCTCCCAGACGATGCAATACAGTCCCTACAACGCCTAGGCATGCTGAGTATCAAATTATCGATCTGATCTTGGGGGGGGGGATATTATACCACTCAGAAAGCAATGCTCTCTGAAGTTCCGGTAGACATGTAGGAGGAGGTTGATGGGCTGCAATTCGTCGGCAAAGCATGCCCCACACGTGCTCTACTGGATTCAAGTCCGATGAGAATGCTGGCCAGTCCATACGGGTGATATCCTCCGATTGAAGGCATTCGCTTACGATGTTTGCACGGTTGAGGACGGGCGTTGTCATCCATAAACAAAAATTGTGCGCCCATGGCATCAGAATCAGATTGCAAGCTAAACCTGGACTCGTCGGAAAACATCACACAAGCCCACTGTTGCGGTGTCCACAACGCATGCTCTCTACTCCAGGCCAACCAACCGCAGGCGACAGTGAGTTGCAGTAAGTGGAACACATCTGACAGGTCTACGAGCATATAGACCAATCTGTCCTAAGCGTCTGTACATAGTCTGCCTTGAAATTGTCGTACCTGTGGCTGAAGAGAGCTGACGAGACAGGTCTGAGGCTGTGCTCCGCCTGTTTCTTTTGGCAGTAACTGCCAAATACCGGTCCTCATTCGGCGTTGTAACTCTGAAGCGACCTGCGCTGTAACGTCTACTCACATTACCATCATCTTGGAATCGTTGCCAAAGCCTGGAGATGACACTCTGGGCAATTTCAAGTTCGTCTGATACTTCCAGTTGGGTACGCCCACATTCCAGACAGCCGATAATTCTACTACGTAAAAAATCATCCAAATGCGTCCTTTGTGTCATAACTATTCGGTTATTGCACTGAAATGCTTATAAAGCACCTGCAAACAATTTTACTTCTTTGCCTGTATTTCTTACATATCACTCACTCTCTTACACTCTCGTCATTGTGACGTACCATCGGTGTCATCTGCTTACTTTCTGAAATTTGCATATGAGTCTTGAAGATGTGTGTAGTGATTTTACAGGTGATATATTTATTTTAGAGTTCGATTTCCGCGTGACTCCGAATTATCCTTAATTTATGGACTTGAGTGTAAAAGCACTCTGAGTTATCTTAATTGCTGAAGGACAACAGTGCGAGTCATTTCACTATCTTCATAAAACAAATGTTTTGGAAGTATAATTTGATGTTATCTTCTTAATTACTGTATTGCCGGAGAATAGGACACTTTTTTCTTTGAAAATAGGTCAGAAAAATGGGGTGCGTCTTATATGTCGTTTCTTATTGTGTCGGTACGTCATTTGTGAATGGGTCAAAGTTTCATGACATGCTGTGAAAATAGAGTCAGTGGTTAAATTATTTAAGAAGTGTGGCCATTAGCAATGCACTGGATGGTACAGAGGACAATTTGTTGCATGTTGGCTCATGCTGAGGTTTCAAGTGACTCTTCATTTAGCTCTGTTGATCAGTGTCTGGGTTTTGATGAAGGAGATTAAAAGGTGCTCTTTCCCAGATAGACGGGCATTTCCAGAAAGTATTACTTTCAATTTAAAATACTGTAAATTCATTATAATGATCAGTAATAAAGTTTTATCCTTCAAAAATGTGTAGAAAATAGGGGGTGCGTCTTATATGCCAGGAAATATGATAATTATTTGTATTGGTTCCAAAGCAGCTGTATGTGGAAATTACACAGAGGTACTTTTCCATCAATACATTATCAGAGTCATTAAATATGAAGCATGCATTTCATACATCTGCTACAATTAAGTTACCAACTGTTACTATTTTACTTCATAATGTGTGGAGAATTCTTTATTGAATCTCCGCACTCTATGCTGATTAACTTTAATTTTCAAAGCATGTCCTTAGTATTATATTTGTAACTGTATTTATTATTATTAATCATAACTGTGATATGGAATATTGCAGTAGTAATTTAGAAAGAACAATGTTTTTGTAGATCTTATAATCATCATTTAGCTCTTATCCAACATATAAAAATGATTTATGGGGCAGCTGGTCGAAAGTTAAAAAAAGAAAATCTTTTTTTAAAGAACCATGCAGCGTCACTTGTGAATAAATAGCCTTAAAGGTATTCTAAACTTTGATGGGAAGTTGTTTACAGTGAAATCGAAACTTTCATCCCTGGTAAGTGCATTGTTTATTTTTATTTGAAGTGGCTAAATATATATATATATATATATAAACTAATTAAAGTCTAATTAAATATGGGTGGATTGAAGCCACCAAATATCCTAAATGTCGAAGGTAATTTAGTGAAAGTTGGAAGAAGTGGAAACAAAAATTACAGATTTACATGTTATCGTCTGGTGGCATTACCAAATCTCCTGAAATTAAAGTAGCTATTTTATTGCATATTATTGGTGAAATACTTGAAAAGTTTAATAATTTTAATTAAAATGAAGAAGATAAGAAGGATATTGACAAAGTAATTGAAGCTTTTGGAAATTATTGCATACTGAAAGCAAACGAAATGTTGATAGATATAATTTTTTTATCGAACACAACATGTAGATTAATTGTTTGATGATTTTTCAACAGAGTTAAAGAAATTAAGTAGTAACTGTGGATTTGTTGGATTTAAAGGTAGTTTAATTAGAGATAGAATAGTAAGTGGGATTTTAAATGAAAATCTTAAAAAAAGATAGATTATTAAGGGAAGATCAGTTAACATTGGAGAAATATATTATAATGTGTAAAGCTCCTGAATTAGCGGAACTCCGGCTGAAAACTTTAACTGAAGAAAATAAAATAAATTGATCAAGCAGTATAAAATTCCACCTTTAGAGGAAAAGAATCAGCATTGTAAGAAAAAATTCTATGTAAAACAAAAGCAACAAAGTATTAAATCATCTTCAAAATATCTGGGAAATAAGTATAATAATACAAAACCATGTGGAACTTTTCATAAGTTATACACTTGTCCTGCTTATAATAAGATTCACTTATACTGTAAAAACAAAAATCATTTTTCTAAAATGTGCATATAAAAATGTTAATGTTTTGCAGAATAATTTAGGAGATGAGCTGCATTATAATGTCAATGAATGTATTTTAGGATAAGTAGAAGATAAAAATCCCTTTTCTAAGAATAAAACAGAATGGTTTGAAAGACTAAAAGTAAACATATCTAAATATTTATTTGCTATGTTCTATAGTGTAGCCATTGCCTAAATTTAAACAGTTAAATTTAAGAGATAAATGTTTTAATCAAATGTCACTTTAAATAATTACAATGGTTCTAAAATTGATGTAATTGGAAAATGTAAGTTCTAATGTGAGACATCTAAAGGTGATAAGGATGAAGTAGAATTATAAGTAGTAGCATGTGATAAAATTGTTCCAGCTATTTTAGGTTTATCTACAATGCAAAAATTAAACCTAGTACAAAGGATTTGTACAGTGAATCTTGAATCTAGTAAAAAGTTACCAGAATCTTTAAATGGATATTAAGATTTATTTAAAGGAACTTGGAATTTAACTGGATATACCTATCACATTAAATTAAAACCAGAAGCCATTGCGTAAAAAAGTGACCTGTAAGAAAATTCCACTTAGTTTATTAAATCCATTTAAAAAGGAACTGGCAAGAATGGGAAAAGATAGTATTATAAAGAAAGTTAACAGAATTTATGAATCCATTTCTTGTAGTTAGAAAAAAGGATGCTAATTTAAGAATGTGCATAGATTCTCAGCACCTTA